ATTAGTTGTGCCTTTTTCAAGTAAAATTTTACCCAAAAAGGCCAAAAAATTTGCAAATTAAGTTGAAAATGGTATATTTTTTTAAACTGGGAAGTGGGTTATTATAGGCTTCACCAACAAATTTCTAAATTAGATAGTTTTTACAAAAAAGGTCTCTTGCGTTTTCTCGATACAACCCCATTAAAAAACGTACCCTTTTTGTCTTAAAACTGAATATTCTGTTCAAATTTGTAACAATAAAAACGGAACAGCCCTCTATAATATATTTGATATGAATAAGTCATATAGTGGGGCAATGTCTGAGCATTTGCCATAAGGAGATTTTAGGTTTTTAGAAAATTTTTACTTCATATATTGTAATTTTGACACAATTTTACTTTCCTGGGGATTAATTGGCTACTTTTCATTCTAAAATTAGGGCCGAAAAACTCACTTTCTATAATTCACTCATTCTAAAAAAGCATAACGTACAAAAGTGAAATTTTATATAAATATCTACAAAAATAAGTAAATATGTATAAAAAAGCTTTTACTAAATCCGCTTACCTATTCGTATAACAACCGCTATATTTTTTTCCAATTTTTTGCTGTTATTAATTGAACGATTATATTTCACAGTTGAAGGTTTACATAAAATAAAAAAAAAAATAAATTGTAACTTTATTGTGTTGTTTCAAATCTGCATGTGTATGAAATAAAACAAAAACGGATACAATCAATTTTTTTATTAAAACAGAATTTAATTTAAATAATCTTCTGATTCGCCTCCTGATCCGTAATAATCCAAATAGTCGTCGTGAATATTGGGTAAATGTCCATCTTGAAACTCTTCCACTTGTGTCGAATCGGTTGTAGTGTGTGTAACAACAGTAGGAGTAGAAGTGTAAGCTTCGAGTAATCTTTTTTGTTTGAGAAAAGTGTGTTTGTCTTTGATTCTCTTCTTGTGAAGGGCGGCGTCAATGTCGAATTTCGGTGGTCTAATTAAAAAGAATCAATAATTTATGACGATACTAGCGCACACATGTATATTATTCCGGAGAGACCATAAATTATTTATGGCTTTCAGCTGAATTACACTGCATAATACCATTCCGAACAAAAAATGAAACAGCAGCAGAGTTGACATTAAGTGTGTAAAACGGGCCTTATATAGTAACCTCTTTTTAATATATTGTCAATGAATTTGACGTTTTAAAACGTCAAATTTGACGTTAAAGCTTGTTTTACAGAAAGTGTCAAAAATGTTAATAACTCTCCATTTTGTGTTTATTGTCTTTGAAATATGATAACCTGATTGCATAGAAGATGGTTTACAGGACACAGGGAAATAAAAACCATTAAATTCGTCGCGACGTTTCGATACTTTTATTGTATCTTCTTCAGGCGAAGAATTCTCAAGGAAGAACTGACCTGGAAATGTTGTTTCTACTTTTTTTTACCAATTTAGTGTGCTTTTTACCTAGAAACTCACAAAATACGTTTGTTTTTTTATGAATCTTTTTATGCAAATTGCAAAATAAGGTCTAAAATTTGTTATTTTCTATAAGTATTGAAATGTTTTTCAATAAAAAAACTCTCAAAATTGTAGAGATTTTGCCAAAACAAAGTAGAAAACCTCAAAATTAGACTTAGAAACATGTTTTTGTTTATTTTTATGAGAAAACTAAGAAAACTACAAAATTTAAGAAATTTTGTCAAAACAAAACGCGTGGTTTTTTATGAATCTAGATCGTTTATTGCTGAAAAGCTCAAGAATTTGAGAAATTTTGTTAAAACAAAGTAGAAAATTGCAAAATAAGTTTGTGTTAATCAACAAAAAACCACAAAATCCGAGTAATTTTGCGGAAACAAAGCAGAAAAATGGAAAATTAAATCTGTTTTTTTGTTTTGTTTTTAAGAATTCAAAGCGTTTTTTTCGAAAAAAATTTAGTGTGTTTTTTACCCAGAAACAAAATTTTTCAATACAAAATTTTGATCACAAAATGCGTTATTTTTTGAATCTAGACAAGAAACTACTAATTCAATTTGAAAAATATTCTTTGAAACTTGCAAAATATTGTCAATATTTGTTATTTTCTGTAAATTTCGTATGTTTTTCACCAAAAAAAAAACATCAAAATTGTAGCGATTTTGCTAAAACAAAGTAGAAAACTACAAAAATTATATCTACAATGATAAAATTTTGTTTATTTTGAAAACTTTAAAGCACTCTTTGCTCAAAAACTAATTAAATTTGAAACACTGTCAAAAAATCGCAGTAATTTCAAATTAGACCTAGAAAGAGAATTTGAGAAAGTTTGTTAAAACAAAGTAGAAAATTTAAATACCTAATTACACCAAAATTAAAGCTATTTAAGCATATTTTGGACGTTTTAATTTGTTTTTGAGTTACAAAACAATTTTTTCGCGAAAGTTTGCTAAAACCCCTATTTTGGTCGATTTACTAGTTTTTTTTTTTTGTAAAATCTTGTCAAAAACAAAACAAAAATCAAAACAAAGAATTTTGTCTTGGTTTTGTATTACCAAGAATATTATTTTTTGATTAAAATGTAGTAAAAGAGTGGAAAACAGGTCAAACAAAGTTTTCATTTTAATTTATTGTTCTACCTTTGGGAGAGTTTCAAATTATTATCGATTTTAATTCGTTATTAATGGAAAAATGAAAGGACATAATTGATACATTTTTAATTAAATGAGGATTAATAGACTGATTTTTAACGTAACGTAAGTCTTTTGAATACTAATAAAAGTTTATAATTTAGTTACTACAATTTCGTTTTCAAAAACGGTTTTAGGTGAATAAAAGGCACATAAAGGCATTTCATTAGTTTATTTTGGTTTATTTAGACCAAAAAATTAAAGAGCTGGGCAATTTTTTCAACCAGAAATTGCTAAAATGCCTAATTTCTGCTTAGAGAATTTGTTACTAAGAAACTAATTAAATTTGAAAAATTACGAAAATATTTTTAAAGACTAAATACCGTTAAAAATATTATTATTAATGCCGATAATTACAAAAATTAGACCTGGAAATGCGTTTTTTTTTTTAGGAATTTATTGCGCTTTTTACTTAGAACCTCACAATATACGTTTGTTATTTTGTCTAAAATTTGTTATTTTCGACAAGTTTTGAAATGTTTTTCAATAAAAAAATTCTTAAAATTGTAGAGATGTTGCCAAAACAAAGTAAAAAACGCAAAATTAGACTAAGAAACTGTTTTTGTTTATTTTTATAAATTCTTTTTCTGAGAAAACTACAACATTTAAGAAATTTTGTCAGAATAAAGAAGAAAATGGAAAATTTTGATCATAAAATGCGTTGCTTTTTTATGAATTCGGAGCGTTTATTGCTGAAAAACTGAAGAATTTGAGAAATTTTGTTAACACAAAGTAGAAAATTGCAAAATAAGTTTGTGTTAGTCAACAAAAAATCACAAAATCTGAGTAATTTTGCGGAAACAAAGCAGAAAAAGAAAGAACTGACATGCTTAACATCAACAAGAATTCTTCACCTGAAGAAGATACAATAAAAGTATCGAAACGTCGCGACACGAATTTAATGGTTTTTATTTCCCTGTGTCTACTTACACTTCCCCGTTCGTATAAACGCGATTTTGTAAGTGAACGATATCATGTTTCACATCAGCTAGTAGAAGTAGCAGGAAGTCAAACGATCCCCTTTCGCCCTTTGGCCCTCTCGGTCCCTTTTCTCCTTGCTCACCTTTGGGTCCTTGTGGCCCTCTCGGCCCCGCCTCGCCCTTAAGATATGCACACGTGGAAATTGAATTTCTGCAATAAATTACTTACTTGTGGTCCTCTCTTACACCTACATTGGGCATCATTTTCATCTCCTGGTAGAGGCACAAACGCATCCAAAACCGAATAAGTGTAATCTTGGGTGGTGTGTGCGGCGGCGGGGTCACTCTCCACTCCTCAATTTTTAATTAAAATTCATTAAAAACGGCTCAAGAGACTTACACAGGTATAGAAGAAATGCATGTTAATCTTACTTAAAATTGCATTTTTATAAAAGTATTTGTTTTAAGACTCTTCTTTTGCTTAAAAATAGTCAATTGCACCTGCTTTGTTCTAATTAGAATAAACAGAAACTGTTTCTTTACTTAAAACAAACAAAGAGTACCTGCGTACTAATTAAAGCAAATAAAGAGTTTTTTTGTTCTAAAAATGATCACTGATCATTGAGCAAAAAGGATCTAGCAGTTTAAAGCAGTAGCTTTAAATTTAAGAACAAATCTTTTTCAAATTAAATCACTTTTCATTCATATTCGAACTTGTTCACTTTGTTCTAACTTTCTGAACTTTTTATTGAAAATGTTCTTAGGAAATGCTTTATCATCACTTTCTACTGATGTTGAATGCAATAAGTCAGTTGCTTCGTATGCAACTGTTATCACAACAACTACTACCTACAAGCTAACTGAAGCTAATCGTAGAATGAACCAACAGAAAAACATCATAAAAAAATCAGAAGAATTAAAAAGATACATGAGGTAATCAAGGAAAACAAGAAGAAGTTATAAGAAAATCAAATGAATTCAGAAAAAATATTAAGACAATACAGAGGAAATCATGAGAAAATCATTCATTTCGTAGAAGACTGGAAACCTGAAGCTGTAAAATGGATTTTTTAAATCTAAATACGACCATTTCTCATTGCGGTATGTACAACATTTCAAAAATCATCAAAAAATTTAAGAAACTTTTTGAAATAGTAAAACGTTTTGAAGTTTTTGAGATAATAAACTCAAACCTTATCCATGATGAAAATCATAATAAAATAGGTAAATTAAAAGAAATCTTGAGAAAATCAAAGAATTTAGGAGAAATCAAAGGAAATCAGGAAATTTTGAGAAACTAGGAGAAATGTGTAGAAATCAAAAGACCAAGAAAAATAAAAGAAATTATGGGAAAATTAAAGGAAATCAGAAAAAAATAAGAGAAATTAGAGGATTATTTTGAAAATGTTCTGAGCAAATGCTTTTTTATCACTTTCTAACGATATTGAATGCAATAAGTCAGTTGCATCGTGTGCAACTGTTATCACAACTACTACCTACAAGCTAACTGAAACTAATTGTACCAACAAAATAAATCAGGTGACTTATTGCATTTAACATCACTCGAAAGTGATGAAAAAGCATTTGCTCAGAACATTTTCAAAAAAGTTCAGAAAGCTAGAACAAAGTGAACAAGTCGAAATCTGAATGGAAAGTGATTTGATTTGAAAAAGATTTGTTCTTAAATTTAAAGCTACTGCTTTAAACTTCTAGATCCTTTTTGTTCAATGATCAGTGGTCATTTTTACAACAAAAAAACTCTTTATTTGCTTTAATTAGTACGCAGGTACTCTTTATTTGTTTTAAGGAAACAAACAGTTTTGTGTATTCTAATTAGAACAAAGAAGGTGCAATTGACTATTTTTAAGCAAAAGAAGAGTCTTAAAACAAATACTTTTATTAAAATGCAATTTTAAGTAAGATTAACATGCATGGAGCAAAGCTTGATTAGCAAACCTTAACTTCAAAAAATCATATCTTGAAAACCACTCGGTATATTCTTTAAAAAATTTGGTTTCTTACTAATAAAAAGATGCTCTACACGATGGTGATATTCGTAGGGTTTTTTCGATTTACTTCGAACTTCTTCGAACACTGTTCGAAGAAAAGTGTGCCAATATTCAATTTCAAATTTTATATCATTCTAAAGGGCAAGGCCATGCCTTTATTTGAAGGAAATCGGCCTAATAGTTATTGAGTAATGATTTTTTAAAGTTTTAAATTCATTTAAATTAGAAAAAAGTGTGTGGACTTTTTGAAATTCTTTTTAGTGCATTTGATTTGTCTCACTGAGACGAACAAAATGATATAAAATTTGTCAAGTTGTCACGACATGACTTTTTTTGTCGGCCTGGGTTATTACCTGGAAATCCTCGAGGTCCTGGTGCGCCGACGGGGCCAGGAGGGCCTGGAGGCCCCGGGGGACCTGAAGCGAAGCTCGACAATCTGATTGCTGTACTCAAAGCGGATATCTACAGTGTGTTTTAATGAGCGAACTTTTCTATTTTAAACCTTTAAGTAGATTAGTGTATATACCTTTTCCTGCAACGATTTTAGCTTGTCATGAAGTCGGAGAACAGTATCACAGTTAGCAAAACAACGATTACTGTGTCCGGCTTGTTCGCTTCTTCCTTCTAAATTATTTAAAGGTTCGCATGTTCTATTGTCCGGTTGTAATGTAAATCCTGCTCTACATGCACAACGGTAGCTTCCAGATTCGTTTATACATTCGTGTTCACAATCGCCGTTATTATCTAAACACTCGTCCACATCTAAAAGTACAAAATGGAAAAAAAACACAGTTTTTTAGTTACAAAATCTCATACCTACGCAGACAGGTTTAATTCCTCGTTTTTGGTTTTCGGAATTGAATTTGTAGCCGTCAAAACAGGTGCATATCACGCGTTGTAAATAAACGGTACAAACTTGCTCGCATAAGCCCAAAGAACACGGATCTTGCGACTTGGGAATGCATCTGAAACAGCATTTTCACCCAAAATCCTTTCTATTATTTTAAGTTATTGGGTATTGTGTTGCCAGCTCAAAACTATTAAATTCGCCAGATCTGAGCTGAAAAGTTACCAGATTTACTCCTATTTTCAAAATTTTTTACTACTGTCGAAAATTCACGTTTTTTACATCGCAAATCTGCTCAAAAACGTGCTTAAACGCTCGAAAAATTCAAAAATAGGTAACGCTATTTCATTCGGTCTAATTCTATAATTTTTTGGGTAGTTTTTAATTAAATTTTGCGAAATATCGGGTAACAAAAAATCTGTTGGCAACACTGAATCAGTGTCAGAATGTTTCAGGTGACGGCTAAATCAGCAGTCACTCGTCGCAAATAAATGACAATTGCCTATAAAAGTTTGACGTTTGAATTTGAAAGTCAAGGTTGCCAAATTAAATTTTAAATTTGACACTAAATAATTTACAGTTACCAGATATTTACGTTTTTACTTGACAAATATGCTAAAACACTTGATAAAGGCAAAAATAATGTCTCAATTTGATGTTTTTTTGGTTTGTTTTAGTAAAATCTTGTCATTAACACCATTTTTGACCATATTTTGTAATTTTTGTACAATTTTTTTGGACAAAATTTCACTCAAAAACAGCTAAATCGAATGAAACAATTTATTTATTTTTGTTGTGTTTAAGCATGTTTTGACTATATCCTGCAAAATAAATAAGTCTCTAGTTCAAAAACTAACTAAATCGAGCGAGACACTCTAAAACGATATTAATTTCAATCTCATTTAGTAATTTTTTAATCAGTTTCAGCAAAAATTTGAATGTATTTTAAAAACGTGTTGAAACACTCTAAAAACGCGAAAATAACACTAATTTCGGCCTAATTTGATAAATTTTCGGTTTGTTTGTAACGAAATTTTACAAAATAGTTAAAAAAATTGCACTTTTACTCAAGGAAGCCGAGAAATCTTCTAATTAGATAGAAAAAGGGTTTTTTTTTCCAATTTTTTGACTAAAAATCGTAATTGTTTTTTATCAAAACATGCCCAAAATGCAATTAGGTAAAAAACATATTATTTCCATCTATTTTCATGCAAATAAAAACGTTTTGAGCCAAAACTGTTTTTTTTCTCACAAAATTTTGCTAGAATAGCCAAATTAGGGGTTGAAAACGACATTATTATTGCCTTTTTCAAGTAAAATTTCACCCAAAATGGCCAAAAATTAGCAAATTAAGTTGAAAATGGTATGTTTTTTTAAACTGGGGTTAAGATAAAAAGTACTCTGGTTGAAGTTTCTTGTCACTTTCAACAACAAAATTCTAAATTCCATAGTTTTCTTGCGATTTTTTCGAAACTTACCCTTTTTAAGTAAAATGATTTTTTTTAAATTTATGTTAGTTGTTTTGTTGTTTTTTTCGAAAGAAAATTGTCAAATTTGTTCGAAAATCATACTATTTTTGCTTTTTTGAACGTTTTGAAGATAAAAAAATCACGCAATAAAATCGAAATGTTATTTTTCACTTTCTCAAGCGTTTAAGAAAGGTCTTCTGCCAGAAATGCAATTTTTTTGCAAAATTTTGTCAAAATCAGTTGAAAAATTAATAAAAATTGTGCTGTTTTTGCAGTTAAATACATTTTTGAGCTAAGAAACACAATTTTTTTTGCTAAAACAGACCAAAAATTACCAAATTAGGTTAAAAATGATAATATTTTTGCCATTTCAATTATTTTTGTACCTTTTTAGTAAAAAAATTTGCGAAAAAAGGTCCAAAATTTACCAAATTAGACCGAAGAGTATGGTACTTTTGACATTTTTAAGAGTAAAAGCAACTTTTTGAGCCTAAAACCAATTTTTTTTCGAAAAATTTCATTCACAACCCAAAAGTGACCAAGTTAGTGCTCCTTTTAGAGAGTCTAACATGTTTCTGAGTTAAAAGTTGTTTTTTGAACGATTTTGCAAAAAATAACACTAATTTAGTTTTATTTTTGTTGTGTTTAACTATGTTTTGACAATATCCAGTAAAATAAATGAGTCTCTGATTCAAAAACTAACTAAATCGAACGAAACATGCTAAAATGATATCAATTTCAATCTAATTTGGTAATTTTTCAGTCAATTTTTGCAATAATTTGAATGTACATATTTTAAAAACGTGTTGAAACATTCTAAAAACGCAAAAATAACACTAGTTTCGGCCTAATTTGATAAATTTGCGGTTTGTTTTTAACGAAATTTTGCAAAATCGTTCTATTTCTGGCTAAAAACATACTAAAACGGTAAAATAATGTACTTTTTGACCGATTTTAGCGATTTTTTTACCTTGTTGAGTTTAGAAAAACAAAAATATCTCTCAATTTTTCAACTTATTTTTGAGAAAATTTAGTATTTGGATTTCTGCGTGGCTAAAAAGCCGTACAAAATGCTCAAAAAATACAAAAAAAAAATAGTGTCATCATTTTTGACTAAATTTACTAAATCAATAATAAGAAAAGATAATTTTACTAAAATTTTACTTGATTTATAAAACTTATTTTAAAATACATTAATTTTCTGCTAAAACTACAGTCACCTTTATAAAAAATCATCAAAAATTAGAAGTTTTTCAACCAAAACACTGACTAGGTACCAAATCAAACAACTTTAAACATAAAAATAACTCGAAGGAAACGGCCCAATTTTTTAATAAAACCAGCGAAATATTCGCTGAAACGAAGCCAAATCGAATAAAACAATCAAGAAAAGTTTTGCATTAACGATTTTAAAAATACCAAAACAGTAAAAAGATTAATCTATAGTCATTGTTGGAGTTGAAGTCTCTCCGCTTTGTAAACAAAGCACGTTTTAGTGTTATTTTTTATGCAAGTTATTGAGAAAAAGGTTGGCGATTTGTCAACTGTGAAGATGTCTTCTTAAAAGCCCTTTTTTCTATCGAACAAAGGTTAGAAAAATATTTGGTTCGAGAGAAAGCACGTTATTCAATTCAATTCAATGTTGACTTTTGGTTTGTTTTATTTCAATATTTCAATAGTTTTATTAAAATTTACCTTCCTGCAACGTAGGTGTAGTCCTTGCAGCAATGTTTGCGTGTACAATCGACCCATTCTCCATTGACGTTACATTTGTACCTAGTTGAAATGACGTTGGTGGATGGGCAAACGAGCGGCTCGGACCTAAATATTTCTCCAGAAAAGTCAAGTCTTTCAAATAACCGTAAAAGTTATACCCTGTTGTAAAGGAAGCTTCATTGAGATCATCCACGTAGTAGCCATCATTTGGCTCTTCACTATACGAAAAACTCGACACGAAAATTACAAAAAGCGTCTTCCAAATCATAATTACACGTAAAAAAAATTCACCCAACATTTAAATTTAATCACAAATTCGCAACTTTTGATTAAAATGTTCAAATCGTTTCACTAACAGATGATTTTTTCGCCGCGACTAAACCAATTAACGCAACTTTGTTTCGAAATGAAGAGTAAGAGTTATTTAGCTCACGATTAAGGGAAATATGGTTCAAGTAATGGACGGATTACGATGCAACTATTTCAACTTTTTTACGTAAAACGACGAAATTAATTTAGCCTCGATTTTGATTACACAAGGCGACAAAAAATTCATGTGATTATTTTGTTCATCTCAGTGAGACAAATCAAATGCACTAAAAAAAATTGAAAGTCCACACACTTTGAACAAAATAATTTTTTTCTAATTTAAATGATATTAAAATAGTATAACTTTAAAAAATCAGTACTCAATAACTATTAGGCCGATTTCCTTCAAATAAAAACCATTCTAAAGGGATGGCCTTGCCCTTTAGAATGATATAAAATTTGAAATCGAAGTAAATCGAAAAAACTCTACGAGTATTTTTTTTTCGTCACCATCGTGTAGAGCATCTTTTTATTAGTAAGAATCCAAATTTTTAAATTAATATAGTGAGTAGTTTTTAAGATATGATTTTTTGAAGTTAAGGTTTGCTGTTCAGGTTTCCTTTAATTTCTCTTAATTTCTTCTAAATTTCTCTGATTTTCTCATGTCTATTTCTAAATTTCTCAGAATTGATTATTTTTTGTGATTCCTTCCGATTTTTTCTTCTTTTCACAGATTTCTCCTAGTTTCTTCAAATTTCCTCTAATTTTTCCTAAATTCCTTTGATTTCCTAATAATTTCCTCTTGTAATTTATCAATTTTTTCATGATTTCTTCTGATTTTTTTTGATTTCCTGATTCTTTTTGATGTCCCAACGATATCTTCTAATTTCTTCTTATTTTCTTGATTTTCTTTGATTCCTTATTATTTTTTTCTGATTTCGTCTTATTTTCTCCGATATTTCCTGATTGCTTTATAATTTGGTCTAATTTCTTCTGGATATTCCTTATGTCTCTTAAATTCCTCAGATTTTTTCAGTTTTTCTCAAGATTTCTTTTAATTTGCAATGAAACGGATGATTTCCTTCGATTGTTTCTGGTTTTTCTTGATTCCTTAATAGTTTTCTCTAATTTTTCTTAATTTTCCAGAGATTTCCTCTAATTTCCTTTGATTTTTTGATTTCCTTTAATTTCTTTTAAATTTGTTTGATTTTCTTTGTTTTTCTCTGAGTTTCTCTCATGTCTTTTTTCGAATGTTTTAAAATTTCCATTGATTTTCTCGTAGTTTCTTTTAATCTTCTTTGCTTTTTTGTTATTTATTCAGATTTTCTTCCAAATTTCCTCTAATTTCTCTTGATTTCTTCTAAATTCCTTTGATTTCGTCAAGATTTCTTCTAATTAACCATGATTATTTCTAATTCTATAATAAATTTTTCCTGATTCTTTTTGATTCCCAAATGATATCTTCTGTATCGTCTTATTTTCTCTGATTTTTCCTAATTTTCTAAAAACTTTTTTACATTTGCCAACAAATAAACCATTTTCTCATAATTTTCCCGAAATTCCTTTGATTTCTCAATGATTTCCTCTTGTAATTTATCAATTTTCTCATGATTTCTTCTGATTCCTTTTGATTTTCTTTGATTCCTTATTGTTTTTTTTCTGATTTCGTCTTATTTTCTCCGATATTTCCTGATTGCTTTATAATTTGGTCTAACTTCTTCTGGTTATTCCTTATGTCTCTTAAATTCCTCAGATTTTTCTGTTTTTCTCAAGATTTCTTTTAATTTGCAATGAAACGGATGATTTCCTTCGATTGTTTCTGGTTTTTCTTGATTTCTTAATAATTTTCTCTGATTTTTCTAGAGATTTCTTCTAATTTGATTTGATTTTTTGATTTCCTTTAATTTCTTTGAAATTTGTCTGATTTTCTTTGTTTTTCTCTGAGTTTCACTCATGTCTTTCTTCGAATGCCTTAAAAATTCCTAGTCTCTTTTAATTTTCTTTGGTTTTTTTGTTATTTATTCTGATTTTTTTCAGATTCCTTCAAATTTCCTCTGATTTCTCATGATTTCTTCTAAATTCCTTTGATTTCTTCAAGATTTCTTCTAATTTACCAATTATCTCATGATTATTTCTAATTCTATAATAAATTTTTACTGATTCTTTTTGATTCCCAAATGACATCTTCTGTATCGTCTTATTTTCTGTGATTTTTCGTGATTTTCTAAAGACTTTTTTACATTTGTCAACAAATAATCGTTTATTTGTTGTTTTCACATGATTTTCCCTAAATTTCTTTGATTTTTCCTGATTTTCTTTGGTTTACTAATGGTTTTCCCTGAGTTCGTCTTATTTTCTCCGGTATTTTCTGATTGTTTTATAATTTCTTTGATTATCTCTTATGTCTCTTAAATCCCACTACTTTTTTCTGATTTTTTCAAGATTTTTTTTTTGATTTGCAAAGAAACGGATGATTTCCCTTGATTGTTTCTGATTTTTCTTGATTCCTTAATAATTTTCTCCTCTAATTTTCTTTGATTTTTTTTATTTCCTTTAATTTTTTTAAATTTGTCTGATTTTCTCTAACTCTCTCAAGATTTTACTTTATTGTTATGGTTTTCTGTGATTTCTTCTAATCTTTCAATAATTTTTCTTTAGAAATTTTATTTTGAAAATCGGCCTAATAGTTATTGAGTAATGATTTTTTAAAGTTAAAGTATTTTAAATTCATTTAAATTAGAAAAAATTATTTTGTTCAAAGTGTGTGAAATTTTTTTGAGTGCCTTTGATTTGTCTCATTGAGACGAACAAAATGATATAAAATTTGTCAAGTTGTCACGACATGACTTTTTTTTGTCGCCTTGTGTTATTTGTCAAGATTAAAACTGCTTATAACTCCGTCTGATCCAATTTATTGAGTTGAGTCATTATTTCTGGCGCCATAACATCAATTAAAACACTAATTAACTCGTTTTATTTCTATTAAGCTTGTAATATAGATACATGCACTTGTAATTTTTTTCGTAACACTTGAAAATCTATGCTTTTTCCTAGACTAGTTTCGTTCCAACCTAAACATTTTGCTTGTTTAGTGATAATTTCCGAAGATTTTGGTATCAATGACACTTCATACTTGTAATCACAAGCATTGTCATTACTCCCAATATAACTCACAACGAATTCAATCCGATCATCGAGATAATAATACTTGCAACGAAACAATTTATTAAAACAGGTAAAAAACCACTTGTCATCTTTATCACTAACAATAGTACTGAATTCGTTTGAACAAATAGGATTGTGTTTTTGTTGGAAATGTGCCACTAAAATATTTAGGTTGTTTACAAAATCGCACAAAGGACATTTAAAATCGTTAAATTCGCAGTCAATTTGGTGCTTTTTTATCTCACCAGCTGGGAACAATTCCGTGCAACCACGAATGTAATTTTTACAAAATTGAAGCAAATTTGAATTTAATTGAAAACTACAAATTTTACAACAAGACTGTTTACATTTTTTGCACGATATGTGCCCAAAAGAACAGGTGTATACTTCACAATTAAGCACATTCTTCAGACAATTGTTACAATAGTCGAAAACTGGGATTGTTTCGTATAAATTCTCCTCGTTGCAATCTTCAACAATGATATTTTCGTGTAGAATTTGAGGCGTAGCGTCCAATGATAAAGTTATTTCAACTCCTAGTCTAACATTTCGTTGATGTTTTCGTTCATTAATCAGAGTTAATTTATTATTGTTTTTCCCAGTCAAGTTTATATTTAATTTGACGATGTCGTCAAAATTGTGATAACAGTACACTTTTAAATCAATTTCGTCCTGATTCTTGTCACTTTTCTTATCTAATGGTAGAGTTTCGTATCGATGCTCGCAATTGAGTTCATGTTCGAGGCCATTATTCCATGGGAAAGTAAAATTACAGCCTTGGTTGTTATATTTGCAAGGAAAAATACAAATTTGTGCTATTGCTTCAAGTCCGATTTGTCGAAAATACTCGCTTTTGCGATCATCCGGGAATATTTTAAAACAGCGTCCACACAATTGTTCGTTTTTTCTGTTTGTTACAATAGGTCCGCAGCTTAAATAACCGTTACATTGGGCACACCGTAACTTTTCCAAAACATGATTTGGAAGTGAGAACATTTTTGCACGAGGTAAAGACACGCTAGGTACTGGTAAAACTGTAATTATATCACATGTTCCTTATCAGTTACGATAAAATTATATGACACACATTGCGATAAAAATAGAATTACTCATTGATAGGTTTTCCCAAATATTTTCCTTGGATCAACTAAACTCGATTTGATGTATTTTGTGGCTAATTGTAGGGATTTTCCTACGTGAATTTGCGACAGAACTGCTTTGTTGCTCTTTCGCTAACTTTTCGCTAAATCCGTCTTTTAATGACGTCTTTTCATCTCATTCAAACTTATCCTTATGGTTTTTCGAAAGAGTTGGCATTAAGAACGCGCTTTCACATTTACTACCTCTCAAAATACACTAAATAAACGGAAAAGTTTTATATTCTACATTCAGTTACTACGATTTCGTTTTCAAAAATGGTTTTAGGGGAATAAAAGGCAAAGGCGTTTCATTAGTTTATTTTGGTTGATTTAGACCAAAACATTAAAGAATTACAACAAATAATTGCTAAAATGCCTAATTTCTGCTTAGTTTGAAAAATTTAGAAAAGAAACTAATTAAATTTGAAAAATAACGAAAAAAAAATTATTATTATTAATGCCAATAATTGCAAAAATTAGGTAGATCTGGAAATACCTTTGTTAGTTATTTATTAATCTTTTGATGCAAATTGCAAAATAAAGTCTAAAAGTTTTGAAATGTTTGTCAATAAAAAATTCTCAATATTGTAGAGATTTTGCCAAAACAAAGTAGAAAACCGCAAAATTAGACCTAGAAACATGTTTTTGTTTATTTTTATAAATTCTTTTTCTAAGAAAACTACAAAATTTAAGAAATTTTGTCAAAATAAAGAAGAAAATGGAAAATCTTGATCATAAAATGCGTTGTTTTTATGAATTCAGGGCGTTTATTGCGGAAAAACTCAAGAATTTGAGAAATTTTGTTAAAACAAAGTAGAAAATTGCAAAATAAGTTTGTGTTAGTCAACAAAAAATCACAAAATTTGAGTAATTTTGCGGAAACAAGGCAGAAAAATTGATAATTAATCCGTTTTTTTGTTTGTATTCAAGAATTCAAAGCGTTTTTTCTTGAAAAACACTTTTTAAAAAAAAAATTGTGTTTTTTTTCCCAGAAACAAAATTTCTCAATAAAAAATTTTGATTACAAAATGCGTTATTTTTTGATTCTAGACAAGAAACTACTAATTAAATTTGAAAAATATTCTTTGAAACTTGCAAAATATTGTCAAAATATTGTTATTTGCTGTAAATTTTGTGTTTTTCATAAAAAAAACATTAAAATTGTAAAGATTTTGCCAAAACAAAGTATAAAATTGCAAAGTTAGACCTGGAAACATGTTTTTGTTTATTTTTATAATTTTTTTTCTAAGAAAACTACAAACTTTAAGAAATTTTGTCAAAACAAAGAAGAAAATGGAAAATTTTGATCATAAAATGCGTTGTTTTTATGAATTCAGAGAGTTTGTTGCGGAAAAACTCAAGAATTTGAAAAAGTTTGTTAAAACAAAGTAGAAAATTGCAAAATAAGTTTGAAAAAGCATTTTTTTA